TTTGATTTGTAATTATTCCAAATGAATCTCTGCCTGAGTGGGTGGAGTCATTAGGCTCCCAAAACGAACCCCCGCCTCTGTGGGTGGAGTCATTAGGCTCCCAAAACGAATCTCCGCCTATGTGGGTGGAGTCATTAGACTTCAAAGGCAGCAGCATCTTTGACTCCAGAATGGATGGCAGCCCTGAATCTCCTTCTTTTAAGCAAATACCTTCCAGTTATGCTCTGGCTGGGTTTCTCAAAGTAGAAGTGGTGTGGATGGTGTGTGGCTTGGAGGGTTAGGATGACACGCCTCTGATCAGCAGGTCACCAGTTCAAATCTCCGATTTGGGAGAGCATTCTCATTGTTCAGCAACACCCTTAACACCCAGTTTTTCCTGATTCTCCTTTCACAGGAATTCACTTTAGATAAAAGCGTTTGCTAAATAAATAAAACAGTGGTGCTTATTTCACCCATTTTAGATTTAAGTTTGAGATGCATGTAAATATCTCTACTTTCATCAGAAGATAAAAGTAAAATGTTTATAGGAAGCATATGTGCAACTATGTCATTATGGTACTTTGATGCTATTACGGCACAATGACGTAGGCTATCCAGGGCTGATGTTTTTCATGTTTTGTTTTGTTGCTGATGGTCACTGATTTGCTCCTGAAACTTTCTGATCACAATCCCAGCCCTTAGATCACTCCCCCCCCGTCTGGTCGTCAGGTGCCCCCTGTGCCCATGAGTCTGCCAGGCGTCCCTCATCCTTCTGTGCCACTTTCACACCCTGATAGCTCACATTTTCCACCCACCCGTTCCATCTAAGGTGAGCCGAAGGTAACAGAGTCTCTGACGGGAAAGAAGGGGGCGTGTGCGGTCAGCAGCTGGACTATTGGCCAGGCCATGACAAGCCCCGCCCCCCGGCCCCGGCTTACCACCAACAGGCAGATGGACGAGGCGCAGCCTTGAATGGCGGCCTTTCTATCTGCTCACGCAATCGTCGCCATTATCAGACGAGTTTCCAGCCTTAAGGGAGGAGTGTGAGTTATCTTTTAATCAGCCGTCATTAGATTTTGGCTGGTAGCTTAGATCATCCTGGAAGCTCGGAATTCGGTCGAAGCTTTTGTTTGCTCCTTTTCTTAACCAAGGTGGATGTTAAAATACAGCCGCCATGTGTTGTTTAAGTGCCTGGAGCACGTGCAGCTTTGATGCCCGTCTCCCGCATGGCAGAGCAGCATCTAGGCTGGGGGGGGTGGGGGGAGGAGGTGGGGGGGTACGGGTGATTGAAATGCAGGGGTCTCTGAGGACGAGTGTAGGCTGTGCTTTCTGCGTTTGCTGGGGAGGGTGAGGGGGAAAGAGGAAGCTGACAAAATACAAGGCTTTTTTAGTTTTTTGATTGCAGTCACAGATTTTAATAAAATTGAATTTCCTCTTGTGGGGACCAAAAAAAAATGGTCCCCACAACATCAAAAGAACAGCTGTTCACATTGTGGGGATATTTGGTCCCCATAATGTAATGTATACCTGGACCCCCCTCTCCCCACACACACACACACACACACTCCCCGCACATGCAATCTCGGTCTTTACCTCCCTCTCCCACCCCCTTGTCCCACCCCGCTTCCCGCCGCTGTATGATCGCTGACACGCGATGCATATCAATGAGCTGCAGATGTGAAGGACACGCTGTACGGCATTCTCCGAGCCGAGGGTGATCTCAGGCACACTTCTCAGGGCGCCCTGCCGTTTTCTGGAAAGGTGTCCTTCGCCCATCGATTCTAAATGGCTGGCGGCCACTCTTGCGTAAGCAATCGAGTAGTTCCCAGGACATAGGAGTCGGTGTATCCCCGATTTGCGTACACACCTGCAGTGGAATGTGGGTGGGCTCACAAGGACACGTTCCCGTCTGCTAGGGTTGCACGATATCACACTGTGATTTAATATCGATTATATGGCTCTGCATAATCTGCATGAATTCAGCATATTTTATGCTTATTATATTCAGTTAAAAGACGTCAGTGGTGTGACTGAACTTTTTTGCAATTAAAAGTCCGACACATTTATTAAACATAAAGATACATCAATTTCATTCAGATTACTAACTTTTGGGCATCGTTATATGGCTCTCATTAATAATTTAAGTGCACTACTAATCTGCCTATCAAAGTCTGAGTGTAGATGTCCGTATGGTACTGAAAAGCCAGTGTCCCACCAAATGTTTCACCCGTTATTTAAAGCCGTTTAGTTTAGTGTATGTCACCATATACGTGGTCCTGAAATAAACCACAAAACACTGCAGACATGCCCAGTACAAAATCAAACAAC